TAATATCTTAATTAGCGTAGATTAAAATATTTGTGCTTTTGTTAATGCTCCTAAACGCATGGATAAAAGAGCATAGAGAAAAACAGCTTTATGAATGATCAGTGCCTTCCTTTGTTGCTATAATACTTGTGACTGAAAACCAACACACATCTTAACATCTATGAAAGGTGTATTTAATTATTGTTTAACAACGTAAGCACGGAAACTAATTAAAATGTTGCATTCCACCAGGCGTTTATCCATTTGCATTTTTCAAGGCTGTTCGTAACGTGACATTTAGGTATCCTTGCTACTCTACATCGGCTTGGAATCACAGGAATGCGTTTATGCTCGTTGTCAAAGAGAAAACATGATTGCTGCTCTCAGAAAATAAATAAGTTGGACGATTTCGTGCAATTAAATAAGGTTAACTGGGAAAATTAGTTAAAACTGAAAATGTTTGCTTTGATATACAACCATACTAATTATTTACACATCACACGTTTGCACACTGCTTGACCAATGTCCGCCTTTCCTCAACCAAAACACTTTTCAGAATTTCTTGGCGTAGATTCAATATTCTATGAATTTTCATAGACGGCATCGCAGTCAGATATTGTGTTAACAACAATACATGCTCTTAAAGTATTTGCAATGAGCGGCTATCGATATGTAATTGTTGGCGGTATCTTATGGCCAGAAAGTACACTTCCCTGACTTGTAGATTTCGAAACGATTTTGGCAGGTTTTCGAAAATGTATACTGCAGGTCTAAGCGTGAAGATTAAAAATGTACGAGCTTTGATCGATTTGTCCCAAGGAAATTTTATAATCCTCAAGGTTTCAGCGTTGTGGATATTCATTTAAATTCAAAATTTACATAATATGTCAACAGCTATTATTCTAGCAAAATGCAAATTCCCAAGCAGAGAGAACTTAAGACATTCTACATCAATGAACACTCTGAAAATAGTCTTGAGAAATGTAAATATTTCTGCTCGTTTGTCAAGGAACAAATCTGGAATAAAACGCAGATTGCTTAGTTAAACGATGCACTTGACGAGATTTTACAAAATTATCAATGGAATCCTCCCAATCACCCTTATGAAATGTATAAACAAACAAGTTAATAGAGTTATCATTTAATATACCCACATTTTTGAAATAATAATATTAATATATAACTACGTGTATCGTATTATTAATCCTGGCTTATGTAATCAAGATTGATGTTCGTCCTATATTAGAACCCAATTCTATCTAATATCAGTCTTAAAAACAATAGATACTTCATACATTTTTGTGAATTTAGTAGTGAACTTTCATTGCATTAGTCCTCAACGTGCCAAGATGATTGATTGTGGAAGAAATTTAGCATGTATTTTTTCAGCTTAATGGCAAAGAGAAAAATATAATCTTCAGTCAGTAACGTCTGTATACTTCCCTATAGAATTAAACCTAATTAATTGAATTTGATTAAACAAAAGTAAATCGCCGTATGTGTTTTGCGCCAATTTTATCAAACGAGTATTAATTCTGAACTAACTTGTTGGAAACTGAAAGAGTATCTTTCAAGATCAATAAAACTAAAGTTACCTCATATCAGTCGGTTTTCTCAATTATCAAACTAAAAGAAAGTTTAAAAGTTCGGTCAACTCGCAAGTTCACGTGCATAACTACTTTGTTCCCCTTCAGCATTGCGCCTTGCGACTGAATGTTACTTGCGCTCGCACACAACAAGAAAAGCCGTGAACAAGTGATTGCAGTCGTTATCGAGTATAGTTGCTATTTTGCAAATGGAGATTCGTAGACCGAGACGTCTTACGTTCCATTGCTGATGATACCGGATATGCCACTCAAGCCGAGAAGATCGATCGGGTTCCATCACTGCCGGAATGGCAATTCTAGAAGCCGGCTGTTTTGATCTGACGTTTGGAAGGGCTTCAATTAAACTCATAAAGATGCGAGGTCTAACAGAACGGTACACCCGGGCGCGATGCTTTCTGACACGCCTCCTTAGGGCAATGGGCTGATCCCAATATGGCTCAACCGACAGCACCAGAGCTGCGAGATCTCGCAGTGGTTCGAACTCGAAATAAGATGAAGTGTCATCGGAGAGTGAGAGAAAGAACGGAATTGCTTAGGCGTAATACAGGTATGGAAGACAAACACGTGTGGGTATTTAAGCGAGTGTACAATAAAGATATAAAATTATTGAAGTACACAAATTCTGGGCGCTTGCCATGAGCGCTGAATACCTTGTAATATGTCCTAGTGTGATGGGAGGAGGGAAGGGGGATAAAAAGAAGGGAACGTAATGTTCTCTGACAACAATTCTAAGTTGAATATCACTCGTGAATAATTTCTTTCATATACATTTTTATTGCAATTTTGTACTATTAAAATATTTAAGACGTTTCGAGTTGAAATGTTTTTCCATCATCAGGTTATTTCTATTAGGTTATATAATTAATTCATATCACAAATCAACAATATTCCTTAAAATATTATTTTTTTCAAAAAAATATGAATACCTGGTGGGGAAATATTCATTGGAACGTTGTGATATTGGTTAAATAGAAAATTATTTGTATAAAAAAAATTAAAATGAAAGAAAGATACGATATAATTTCTCCAATTGTTTGTGGAAATTCTTGGGTTAGAAAAACATATACGTATTTAGAACATTAACCGACAAATATAATATAAAAAGAGAAACGGTGGAGATATGAGTGGAGAGAGGGAAATGGAAGGAAAAACGAGAGAGGGAGAGAAAACAGAGAGGAATATTGTGAGAGAGAGAGAGCGAGGTAGGGTGCAGGGTGGCGTGGGTGCAGCCGATGAGTTGCGTGGACGACGCAGGCGTGCGGGTGGGGCCGGCCGCGCGCAGCGTGGCGCGCAAGGCGGGTGGCGTTAACGAGGCGCACCGTCGTGTGCGCGCTTCGCAGGCATGCGCTGTCCTGGGCGCGCAGCACGCACGCGGCGCCAAATGTGTTTTTGGCGCATGCGAGACGCTCATCGCGCGAATCTACGCGGTTGAGTGGTCGGGAAAGGACCAAGGTCGGGGAATGACGATGTAGACACGAACAATTGCTGTGGAAGGATAAAACTCGTCGATGAACATGCTATGTCATTGTGAAGCCCACAAAAAATTTTTTGCTTGGAAAAAGAAATTCCCAAGTTTTTCATTTTTTTTTTAATTGAATTTGTTGGGGTGTATTATGCATTATGCTACATAAAATAAAAAACTATTCTTATTTGATAGTTCATTCAGATAATCAAATGTGGGTTTTAAGATTACTAATATTGTGATAAAATAAAGTACGTGAAAAAGGAAAATGTACGATATTTAGTGAGGTTTAAAAAATCTTAACACGTTATCAATTACAATGAGTATAAATTGTGTGATAACGTTTATTTAATGAAAATGAATGAAATAAACAGTTATACACTTATTTCCCAACAAAATATAATTCGACAAATTTTAGAGATGTAAGTTGCTTGATATTGCAGAATTTTGTTTAAATTCGTGACCAATATGAATAATCTAAATTGCACTATGTTAAACATTTTCTATTGAATATAAATTATATTGTGTACTATACCTCGCATATTGGATATGAATTTTAACGTTAATTAAAAAAACCGAATTACATGGTTGTAAAACAACATTCATTGTTAATTTATATTATTTTTAACTTCAAACAGTTAAAACTATAATTTTAAGTCAGCCTATTATAATTTATTTTTGGGGGCAATTAGAGACTCTTTAATTAAATATTGTCAAAAATGTTTTGGTTTCAATAGCTTTAAAATATTTTCTTTTGGTGTTAGATGGTCAATGTGATTTCCCTCAAAGATCTTTGTTTATATTTTTAATAATATTACATGTTTGCAAACCTTGGAGTTTGATTTTAATATTTAATTGTGGAATTATCTATAAAAGTGTAAAAAATATTATATTTGTAAGAAGCGGTTGATCTATACTCAAGGAATAGTCAAGCTTGTGCCATATCACATAGGAATGCGGATTGCAAGGGCCATCTGGTGCTCTGAGGAGGTCGAAGCCACGGGAACGCCGGCTAACCTGGAAGAGACTTCGCATTTTCAATAGGTGTAGAAAGTACTAAATTTTTTCGTGCATTTTTTCTTTGTGTAGAATATTCTGAAAATGTCAACAGATGAAAATTTTATTCTTCTTAAAGAGAGTGTATATAGTTGGTTTGTGGCAATCGGAAATTCTACGAGAATCATCTTATATAGAAAGATAAAGAAATATGAAATTTTCAATTATTTTATCTTTGTAAGTTAAGAGGCAGTTATTTTCATTTCGATTCAGACCGTTTTAATGTTTTAGAATTGAATAGCGAAAACGTATGCTTTCCAAAGCAATCACTAATTTACTACCTGGTAATCTGTTCCGTACCACATAGTTTTCGTTTCATCTAATGTATGTTCATACTGGAATTATTTGAGGGGAATTTTATATTGGAATGCGTTCATAACTGTTCTTCTGAAGTGATTTAAAGTTTATTTTACTTGCATTCGTAAGTCGCTACAGAATCAGTTGTTTATATATATATACTATATATATATATATTATATATATATATATAAATTAGACTTATAAAACTTTGATTATCTTACATACTTTCGAAGACATACATGATAGTATTAGTTTATGGCAACTATCCCAAGAAACGTTGTTACACATTTATATATAGGATGTCCAATAAATTATGGAATATTTGATTTACGAATCTTTTCAGGCGTAATACTTATTTGGTGACACTACCGATTGTGTTGACTTAGATGGTCGTCACTCCAAGCACCTCTCACTCAAATGGAGGTGAAAGGAATTTCATAAAAAGTGTCAAAATTCTCATATGAATATCCGCTAATTTTTAGATAGGCAACGATATTTTGAAGAGTGTCCACCATCCAAAAAACAATTGAAAGAAAAAATTACCATTTGAAGAATGTTATCCGATTTTTATTGGCAACAACGTTTCGTTCTTTGCAATGGAATTTGTTGCTCAAGCGCGAGGTCCTCATCCACATCGGGCAGGCGGGGTGCAGATGGGCAAGCGTGGCTGGGAGCTGTACTGGCTGGAGCACGGCATCCACCCGAAGGCAGATGCCGTCCGACACAAGGTGGGCTAACGGGGACGACTCTTCAACAACCTTTTTTCAGCGAGACGCGCCGCCGCAAGCACGTGCCCGCGCCGTCTCGTCGACCCTCGAGCCAACCGTCGACGGTAAGCACGCGCCGCCGCCGTACGCGAAGGGCAGCACGTCGTTAGCGATGAAGTCTGTCCCATTCGTACAACGCGGGCTAAGTAATTATCTGACAAAATTGAGATAATTTAAAACAAATACCTGATAACTATGCATCCAACCCCTAAATTTCTTGCTATCCGGGAGACGCCGCGTCGTTGGCTGGGAGGCCGACGTGTCATTGAAATGTGCAGGCTTCCTCAGGAGAGTTTGGTCACTGGCCCCGAGGAGCCTGCGACATTTTCAGGCGAAACGTCAGGCCTCTCACCAATACGCGGGTTCAGATAGCTTAAGAATGTATGGAATATGCCGCGGAAGCTTACGTCTTGCAATATAATCACCCAACCCTCTGGTTCGTTTCCAATAAATCATTTAATCGCCAACTTAAACTAAACCCAATTGCACACTACATAGCCTTTCTTGCGAATAATTTATATTCTAACCTACCCCTCATTAATCAGGATAGACGCATTAATATAGGAACATTTAATGAAAATCAAACTAGAAAAAAACAGATATTGTATCCATCCTTTTCTGAACATTTTTGCCAATCTTAATAATTTTTAGAGGTGCTCAATCTCGAGTCCCCTCGTCAATTGTAGTTTAGATTATATTTAGTTTATAAGTAATCAGATTTAAGCCAACAATGCAAATGCAGAGTTTCATGTAAACTAAACTTTGTAAATCAATCCTAAAAATAAAAAAAAAAATGAATTACCCTCAAAAATTGTTTAAATGAAATAAAAGCTTCATTCTTCAAGATGGCAATAAATATTTTTTAATAAAATGTTTAAAATAGTACTCCAAGTAAACTAGTACTTGAGGCTCCAATGGGAAAACTTTCGCGGGCGTAGAGTTTTTAAAGTACTTGAAGAAAGTATATGATCAATATCCCTTTTGTCTTTTATTCACTTGATAATCATTTTTTGACGAATCAGATGATATTAAATGTAACACATCTCACCAGTCATTCTGAGGAGTACTTGATAAAAAAACTGACAATATACATTGCAACCGGAAGTACTCGAGGTATAGGAGCAAATTAATATATTATCAGTTCTACTTCTCTTCACATATGATTAAAAATAAAGCTATCTTTTAAGCTAAGCTTAACTAAAATTTTGGATCTCACTCATCCACAAACTTTTTTACGATTATTCACTTTTAGCGTAGACAATATGGACTGATATTCAAAGCAGCAAGAAAAGTGTGGGAGCTAACCTATTTTAAATTTTGCCAACTTATGCAATTGAAAAATCATACGACAGACTAAATTTAATATTAAACATTTGTTTTATAGAGCAACAATTCCATACTTCTCTTTTAACTACTTACAAAAAATGTCCCACTCACTGTTACAAGCAGCTATTGTTAATCTAAAGATCTATTTCTGAGAGTAGGATAGGCAGGAGGCTAAACTTGTGCTATAATATCCTCCACTTTCCCTAGCAGATAGTCACGGTGTTGATCTACCTTCCTCTGTATGAAATATGGCGGCGTAATGAGTAAATGAAAATGACAGATGATTGAAACGGATAGAGTGATATATATAGGTGAATTAGCTGATAATATGAAAAAGCCAACTACGCTGCATTCATACAGTGAAACCCTTAAAATATTGTAAACTGCTCTTAGTGTCCTTTATGCAAATTTTGGAAAAAATACTTCTATTAACATTCCTATTAATGTTCCAGTAGCTATTTCTATATTTGTTTTCAAAAAACTGTCCTATTATTGAAACTCTCTTCTTTTTACTTATTTAATGTATCATTAATTTTAAACCATTATCCAAACAATTCGGAAGATAAATCAGTTGTAATTGTCTTATGGAAGTAGCATAATATATTATAATATTATAATGCATTATGTTACTTCCGTAAGTCTTCCGTAAGAGCTGTATTTACAGTTCTACACTCAACACGTGTTTGAAGGCAAAATAATGAAATATTGCTCCAACCTAGTTTAAAATACCTTTTTTCCCGTTTGCTACACAGATTGCCTCGCTGCATGATTATTTATGACGCCAGTTCGTTCCAACGATTTCATAACATAATATCTCCCCACGTAACATATTACCCGCACAGTTATTATACGCTTCATGTCTAAAACCGTTGTTCCAGTTGCCCACTCAGGTGATCCCTACGAGCCTGCACAAAATGACCTCACTGTTCTCCCCGATATTATTATTTCTGTTTCTACAATTCACTAAGACTCTGATATTCTTAGGTGTTTTCAACTCATATTTTAAAAATTTTCACTATCTCAAAACGGTATTTTACTTGAAATTAAACTTTATATATCCTGATTCAAAAACGCTACATCCAAAAGTTAATGAACTGTTATTTAATACAATTTGTAGCATCATATCAATATTTCATCTGCACTTCACCAAAGAGGGAAATGTATAATTTTTGTAGAATTAGGAAACTGAAGTAAATGAAAACATAAAACAGTTATTGCGTTCATTACAACACTTTCAATAGATTCAATGCCAATGTTGAATAAATTCTCGTACGTTTACATTGGAGCACGAGCCACCTGCGCTGTTGCAGATGAGGTGCGCACCGGCACGTACCGCAACCTGTTCCACCCGGAGCAGCTCATCACGGGCAAGGAGGACGCCGCCAACAACTACGCAAGAGGGCACTACACAATCGGTGAATCCAGTGCTGCGCGCCTGCAAGGGCACAGGGCCCGTTGACGCCCGCGCGTCGTCACGCCCCGCCTTACATTCAGAAGTAGAGATTGAAGTATTTGAAAGCATTTCCTCGTTGCACGAAAGCGCCTGCGATGCGAGGCTGTCCATGACACTGCGCACACACATACACACACTCACGCACACACACACACGCACACTCACGCACACACACACGCACACATATGTGCACACATATGTGCACACATACGCACACACGCACACACGCACTTGCACGCACACACAAATGCGCGCGCACACTCACGTACACTCTCACGTACACACACACGCACGCACACACGCACACATACGCACACATACACACACATACGCACACACGCTCGAACACACACACACACACACACACACACCTATGTGAACACCTAAGAGAAGAGGCAAAATAGGCTCTGCAGAACTGAATCCACATCCGTTCACACAGTGGGTCGATAATTTATCTGACCACTACGTCCATTCAAGTTAGATGTATTTATCCGTGTTGTTTAATATACGTATGTTTTAAAATATTCATGACATAAATGTTGGAAAAAAAATACACCGAAAAGAACTTTCTTGGAAAGGTATAATTTTTCTAATGTTTATTTGGATATATAAAAATGAGATTAGAATAAAAATATTAATTATATTTCACAAAAATCGCAATTTCAAAATGATTACATAGTAAATTATTTCTCTGACTTACAAAATACTATAGAAGATAATATACGGTATTGTATAAAGTAAAATATAAGTATAAAATAAAAGTATGTGTAGCCTTCCAAAATATTCCTAGTCACTACTATTCTAATTGTGGAATTCTATTACTGGAGGCCTTAAGGGAAACTTTGGTTGGGTATTTTTTCACTATTCTTCTTGGCAAGTTAATACTGCAAGAATAATTGAACTGTTTATACTGTCTCAATGTTTCATCTTTAATATTAATCATTATAAACTTTAGATTTTAATCGTTTATTTTCCATGTAATGCATTTTTTAATTATTTGTCTACACAGTATGTTAAATATTTATTTCATTTTTTCTAAACTTCTATTTTTAAAATAGCTATTATTAAAATTTACTTAATCAAAGAATAAGTTTTACGAAATTAAAATTAAAATCTTACAATATTATTAAAATGACAAAATATTTTATTTTAATAAGGTTTTAAACTTAATTCTTAGATATTTAATTTTGATTGAAACACTGTAAGTGTGAACTTATTTTTTATTTGAAACGAAATCATTATATTGAAACGTCTGATTGTGGGCAGCCTGTGGGCTGCAGTCAATTCAGCGCACCCTTATATAGACCCTGGACGAAATTATTTCGCCAATCTCTCTCGGAGTCAATAATTTGGCTCAGGCGGTTTTCTTGTTTAATGTTTCCTCTATTAGTGATGGAAAGATATATTTAGTGGTACATTTGCATGCAAGTTCATATTTTTACATAATGTGGATTTTATTAACTTAAAGGCATACGATTATCAAAAATTCTTCGAGCTCCAATGTAACACAACTCTCTCCTATTAAGAAACATTTCACTGTGCCATGCTCGTTTGATATTTCGCCACGTGACTTTACAATTTACATAAGAGTAGGTCCATTTAGCTCTGTTCTCTTTTTGTCTTTTATGGCTGCACTTGATAGCACCCTCGTGGCTCGGGAACGATTTCTACGTGTCCCATGACCGAATCCTGTTTCGGCAGGACCACTTCGACCACTTTCATCGGCGCAGCTGTGATTATTCCGGGAAACTCGGAGCTCCGGTTAGAAAACCCCGGATCCGCGCGTCGTGAAACGCGCTGCGCGGCTCCGCCGTCACTTCCGACGCCTTGTGGCGGTCGCCGGCCGAAGGGCATTGATCTCACGAAATAGTTAGAAGGTTTCCAGTTCTTACATACGTTCATATATAATCCATATTTCGTGGTTGAAGTATCACTGGGAGTGGATATGTTGTTAGAAACAGCGATTGATCAGTAAAGTTAATTGAAATCTATTCCATATGTTTTGAATTTTGCAATTAGATAATATGTATCAAAATTGCATTCGAATCAGGTACCAAGTGGAGGGATTAAACATATGTTTATATTGCGCATTCCTTTTTAGACCTGTGAGAGCATTAATACATCTACCGAGAACAAATTTAGAGTAATAAATTAATTTGGCTTAGCGCGTGATACGTTCTTCCAATTGGAATGAGAGCTATGAATTACATTGTGTCTGAAATCAGACGTGGACTAACATCCTCGACCACTCTCGACTCGGAACGACCGAAATATGTAAATTATAATAATATATAGTACAGTTAATGTGCCGTATATATTGCGCTCACGAGCTACAAGTCGGTTCGGCGAGCGCGAACCTTGAATAGGTCTGCTTTACCCTCCTACCGTGTCACTACCAATTCCTCGCCCACTGTGAGGGTCCAGTAACACGTGCTAGGAAAGTCTCCCCGCAGTGGCACCTTGCTGGTGAAAGTGCTTGCAACAAAAATTATGTTGGTAGCACGAGCTGTTGATTGTAACAAAAGAAAACGTAAATTCCGCACTCATCACAATCATAACAGATGTTGGGAATGTTGACCTATACACTTGTTTTCTAGTTATCTGGTTGTTACCAACAGAAATGCAATTTTTAAGAGGAGGCACTGATTCGGCTCGGCGCGGAGAGACTCTTCTGGCGCATTATACCACAGGCAAGACGGCGCGTGCTTCCCATCGCAACAACCCCCGGTGCTCGTCCTTGGGTTGCAGGCAAGGAGTGCATCGACCTGACGCTGGACCGCATCCGCAAGATGGCGGACCAGTGCAACGGGCTGCAGGGCTTCCTGGTGTTCCACTCGTTCGGCGGCGGCACGGGCTCGGGCTTCGCGTCGCTGCTCATGGAGCGGCTGTCCGTGGACTTCCCCAAGCGCAGCAAGCTCACCTTCTCCATCTACCCCGCGCCCAAGGTAGGCGCGGCGCCCCGACGACGCCGACGACGCCGCGCGCCCCGCTCGCGCGCACCGCCCCGCCCCCCTCCCACGCCCCCCCCCTCCGCCACGACGTCGCCACCCGTCTTCAAAGCGCCTCTTCGATGAAGCGACGCATTAAAGCGTGAAACTGTGCATCAAATACGCTTCAAAGTAGTTAAATTAATAATAATAAATAATAATAATAATAATATAATAATAATAATAATAATAATAATAATATATAATAATAATACTCAGCTACACGGAGTGATCCCGAAATGACACTTCGGGCACTGGAGTGTCTTCACTTGATGCCGGAATATTAATCCGGTGTAAATAGACAAAAGTCGGCAATTTTGAACACATGCCGTATTGTCAAGAACCATTTCTGAACACTTCAGTAAAGCAACCACACACTGTCAATCATCCTGTGGTATGGTTAATATCGACCAGTAATACTGTGAATAATGAATAATGTTAATAAGAATAATAATAATAATAATAATAATAATAATAATAATAATAATAATAATAATAAAAATGTCTTTATTTCTGGCGAGGCTCGAGGTGAGACAAAGTATTGACTGTATGCATATGATAAGTCTTAGAGTATAATGTTTACTACTGTTGTTTTGCCTTGTTAAAAACCCCTGAGAATCTTCAAAGAGTTCCTTGTCGTTATTTTCATTCATATCACACAATATCCATTTTTATAAAGAGAATACAAAAAATTTTTAAAGAGCATGTCGAAGCAATCAAACGCGTATATTGCCGTTCATTCATTCTTCTTCTGGACCAAAAGAAGAATTTCTCATTTAATTAGTATAAGTAATAGAAGTTATTAGTTCACAATTTCTTGATTCATAATAAGCTTTGTAAATGTATTATATCAGTGCTACTAACACAGAAAGAGTATTTGATGCCTCAATTCACTAATTTTGGAAATTTTAATGGTTGGTGGCGACTGTCAGCGAAGTGAAGAGCGTTGATTTGGGTTTCGTTGTCCCATCAACGGTTTCTTTGCCAGATGCTTCTTAAATATTTCCTACCACAAAGATGTTTTATAATTTGAGACAAATATTGAACAACTTGTCAACAAATTTTTGAATCTATTTCATTTGCTCCTGCTTCTTGGCAGTAGGAAATAAAATTCATTATAATATTCAACGCAATATTTCATATTAATAAATGAAATATAGCGTTGAATGTATAAAGAATTTTATTTGACGTTTACTTTACACGAAATTAAATTTCTTTTGTTACATTCGAGTAATATTTAAAAGTACACATCCAATATCATTTTTTCTTCCTTATTTATGAAAATGAATGTTCACAATAGTCACTGTCAATGCATTTTCGAGTATATCGATCTCTACAACACCAGTTCCTAATGGATTCCACAGAACTGAACGTTTGTATTTGCAAGCTCGTTTACCTTGTATTGGCAACCGTCTCTTTCTCTTCCTTATCTACACTCTTCTGAAGCATCTGGTTGAAGAAACCCCCTTTGTGGCCGCGTGCTCATTCGTAGCGCGCGCTCCAAAACGCGAGTGGTGGAGCGCCGGGCCCCTCCCGCAAACTCCCTTACTCTTCTTGGCAAGGACCATTCACGGCGTTTACGTTCACGACCGGTGTACTCGTCAGAGTTGATGTTCTTATTACAAAAGTCAAATCAAGCCAAATGCGTCGGTGTAGCTACAATAGACGGTGGCGGTACCTGGGCCTGACGACCACACCAGTCTCACATCATTTACACTTAGTTCAGAAGGGTGTTACAACACAATTTCTAAAAATATGTACATTCTTGTTTCACTATAACAATGTTAAAACATCCGTCGATTTACATCTTATACATGGTACAACTCACAACTTTAGTAGGATACGTTTTTATTGCGTATTTCATTCCATCTATTTAACTGACAGTTTTAGTTAAGCGCTACAAATAAATCTGCAGATAAAATCATTCTGAAAAACTGGCAAAGTAGGTACTATACGTACGTCTTATTAAACAGTCAGATGACTCTTTTGCTACGAGGTGATGACTTTTACCGTAACAACAGAAAATTTTAAAAAATTGAACAAATTATATTTGGAAAGAAAATATTTCCATCAAAGAACAATATGAAAACAGATATAAAGCTATTACATTCAATTTTATGTTTACTTTTTTGATAGCAGTTTTGAGAACAGTTTTATACAACAATCATGAACTTTTCAATATGATTTGTAAAACTCTTCCTGTTGACAATTCAATTCCTAGCCTAAGATTCAGTCAAGGGTTTGCAGTTCCTTTTGTGGAAGGTAGATCGTTGGCGATCATTACACTTCGTACCTTTCGCGATTGTTCTGATAAAATGAGGATATCTACTGTCCAGCGGCGGATACGCTTTGTTCATTTGGCAGTGAAAGGGAAAACTATTACGAAAGAGAGAATGACGTTGAATAAGACGATAGCGAATGCGATAAGCTGCATAATTAAAGACAAGGACTAGGAAACGAAAGAAAGGTGTTGCGCCTGGCTGAATCTTCACGAGTTGCTGACTTCACCGTAGAGCCAGAACAATCCCATGAGCAAATTTCGTTTAATTTCACTTTCAGTAATTCAGACCTTCCAATTATTCATTCATAAGTCAAAATAGCGGATGAAAATGCAGTCGTTTTGCATACTCAAATTATCCTCACTCTGACACAACCTTCCCTTCAAACGGTTCGTTTTCTTTTACTTCTTCCTCAAATAAAAAACATATGTTGTTGAATTAATTAAATCAATATTTAAATTCAAGTATGAGTAAGTAAATTGTAGGAATAGCATCACTAATTATATTACACTACTAGTATAAATGTTCCTGAATTTATCGTGAAATGCTATTGTTTTCAAGTTTTAGGTTATGAAAGCAATAATTGTCGAATAATTGTCGCTTTTTTTTAAAGATCGTCCTCTCTTATTTCTTGCAAATGTTAATAAGTTGAATAAATGTTAATACACAACAAATGTTTTCACAAATAATAAATAGTAGAAGTAGTTATATAGATACTATTTCGTAATACTATTTAATTCGCTTTTGATTTTAAAATACTTCGTTGAGCATGGCATTTGTTTGTATATCGTACATACATTTTAATACTATCGTATATTATTTTGCATGCTTAGCACTTTGGTTAAAATTTCTCTGTAGTGTTGAATTAATAAACTATAAATGTACCATAACACAAAATCAAGCACCACTTTCACATTAGAACTTTAATTACACTCATCTATTATTAAAATTGAATTTTTAATCGTAAATGTAAATGTAAGGCATGCCCTGACATGGTGGTTCTCAACGTTTCGTTTCTCAACTATTATTGAGAAGTATTCAGCGAAGTAGCTAGCAAGCAAGAAAAATGAGAATAGTTGTTTATGAATAAGAATGTGAATATATCTGAATAATTAAATGAATTGTAAGTATATTAAATTTTGCAAACTCTCTTTCCCATTGTTCCCGGTTAATAATTCACTGTAAAATTGAATATTTCATTGTGAATATTAATATCATCAGAAGTTTTATCACTCGATTCAGTAGTTTATCCACAAACTTTCAATAAATAACTTTGTGGGAAACATAGTTTTACTAATAATAAGTCGCTCTATAATACCAGTGTTGCAAAGCTCAATTTTGAGAACCACTGTCCCAATAGTCAACATCACACACTAACTCTGAGTTCCAACGTCGTGAATGCTCCTGAACGTCCACGTAGACGTCACAGTAGTCTACTTGTCACTGTCAGCTCACTGTACAAACTGTAGCCCACTCTAGCGGTGACGCATCGAGACGCCGGCGGGGTGACGCGGCGCCACTGATCTCTTCCACTGGGGACGCCAGAGCTCACAAAACTTCAGAAGGGGATAGAGCACCCATTATGAAAAAAGTGCGTTCTGCAATATGGCAGTCGGCAGTGGTAAAGATGGCCTGGAATCCATGTGCGCCGATGTAATGAATATTGACAAAAAGTGTTTTTTTGAGATAGTTTGTGGAGAAATTGTATAGTATGTACGTAATACGTGATGACGTTTATTCATTATATAAGAAAAGATCGTGATAACAAAAAATAAAAACACATATAGTTCTCATAAAATGGACGATACATTTTAAAAGATAAATTCAAATTTAAATTAATTTGGTATAATGTTGATTTAACAAAAAATCTATTCATTATTTTGGAAGTCATGACCATGGAGAAATTTTTTTAAATTTTATTATTTATGTATGAAATTCATTTTAATGATGTTGTTTGCATACATGACAATCACATTCATTATTAAAAAGTTACTAAAACAATAAACCGTTTATGTGCCTATACGTTTATATTTCTCTGTGGTTTTTGACCGCCTTTCGACACAGATGAGATTTCTTAAAATTTAAATGACTTAGTAAATTAAAATTTATTTTATAATATTTAAATTATCCGTTTTTTATTCCTCACACACATTTTTCGTATCACGGAGAACGTCACGCTTTGAATCCGAATAGGTCAGAATAAAATAAGAATGTGGTTGACAGTTTGGTTATTTATTTACTTATTTAACATAAAAAACTGACATACATCGGAAGAAGTTTTCTGTGCACGTTTTCTTAAGTTTATGGACTCATATAGAATTTGTATTAGAGATACAAGTGGGAACAGATCGTTTTTGGCACGAATTGATATGAAACTATTCGCTTCCGTGTTATAAAATGAATTTTAGATTTTTGCTATTATTCCTTATCTTGCCCTTCTTAAAGAAATCATCTCCTTGCCACGAGAACATGGAAAACGATTGTTTGAATAACTGTATTTCCTACAGACTTCTAGAAAACATGCATAGGTTGTGAAACTACATCAACAGCTTCCTCATAAAGAGAACATGGGGAGAGGTGAGCATTTTCTCAAAGAATCAGAGAAACTGAAGGGAAAACCTGATT